TGCTCCCACACAGTTAGCATGGCTACCACTGCTCCCACTACAGTTAGCATGGCTACCACTGCTCCCACACAGTTAGCATGGCTACCACTGCTCCCACACAGTTAGCATGGCTACTACTGCCCCTATAGAGTTAGGGATTAATTTCCCACTGGGATCAGCTTCATAGTCATGGTAGTTCACTTCTTTGATTATAAGCCCACAGCCCGCCAAATGTGGGCTTATAATCAAGTGTTCAATGTTCATGTTCAATTTGCATGCTTTCAAAACAAAGCAAGGCTTTGTTGGGCTACTGCATAAAACCTGGAACTCAACGCTACTCCTGACATTTTTAATTGAAAAAGCTTCCTGGATGGGAAGAGAAACGTCTTCAAACTTGGAAACAAAGTCCAGTGGATTGTATGGTTTTTTTTTGGCATGAACAAAACATGTGCTTTGCAACAATAGTGGAACAAAATTCACCCCATACTCACCCCAAAACAGAGTTGTAGAAATATGAAAACAGAATTGAAGATCCTGTGTTTTTAAAATCTACAATTGAGATCTATATAAATGGGACTAAGATCTTGTAGAAAACGTGCAAGACCGAACTTAGAAAATGAGCTGTGATTAAGAAAGAAGCTGACATGTTGGATCATTTCATGGAAAGATCAATTGATTCTTTCTTGTTTTTGTTTAGAAAATCAACTTCTAGATCAGCTTAGAACTCTGAATCTCACCTGTTAAACTAAAATTCAGTGGTAGAAGGTCTGATCATCAGCTCACATCTACATGGATCCTCATAAAACCAATATGTGGATTAAATAAATGAAAAGTTTTACAGGATGGAAAATGTTTCAGTGAATGACTGAGGTGCGTTTTTCCAAAAACCACATCAAATTGCAAATTTCATATAGATTTATATTTTTTTAACAAGTCTGCAGAACCTGCAATGTTACAGTTGATGTAGAGCGGAGTCACCTACTGTCACCACGTTAGGGTTTAGTTTATACTGCAAACCAATCAGCTGCTGTAAGGCTGCCCAGTTCAGCAGCTCCACTGGAGAAAAGTCCAGACCACTGATGCTGCAAGAGGAGTTTCCTGTTGTCCTTTCAGAATAAAAGACACAGTAAATGTGTTTTTTTTTTCTTCCTCAAATAAAGACCATTTTAACATTTAAATAAATCACTGCATCTGTTGTCTTATAAAAAAACACTCCTGAATCGTTATTTAATGGCTGGAAGCGGATAGAGAAACACGATTAAATAGTTTTTTTTTTTCCTCCAACTATACAAACCGACTTAACAGAGGTGCATGAAGGGAGGGTGGAGACATGATTCATGGATAGTTTCATTATTTCTTTTAAAAGATTATCAGAGAGAAATGCTTGCATCAAACAGTTTACATCATAGTACCATGCTAGCGCTGTCTGCCCGTTCCTAACGCTGTATTAGCAGTGTGATCAATGCTGTTGGAAACTAGTGTTAAGAAGCTCCCTCTGTCCAGACGAGTGGCGAGTTCAACCAGCCACAGCGCCCTCTAGAGGAGGAGGGTCAGCCGACAGGAGCTGAGCGGAGGGGGAAATAATGGGAACTGATTCCAAAAAGATAGAGGAGGAAAATGAGATTCCATGCAAACAAAACGGGAGCAGAGATAATGATTGGGGGGGTTCACAGTTTTCTCAGCGATGATACAGGAAGGATAACGGTGTGCATACGAGGGCATGTGATAGAGGGTGGAAATATGGTGTGGTGCACCAACGGATGGGTACGTCCTTCGTCATGGACAGACGGGGAGCAAACCTACATTCCTGGTCTGATTCTACGGATTCATTTCCACTCTTCCTTCCGAAGCTCGGGGCGATCCTTGGCTTTGTCTCGTTTAGTTCAGTTTGGAGTGATGAAGCTAGAGGATCTCATCTCCCCTTCTGATATAAAGTCACTGAAGGTGGGCGAGACGGTTATGATGATGGCGTTGGGTGGGTGGGTGGGGGGGAGCGGGGAGGAGAGCATGCAGCGGACAGGCGGCTCAGACAGGGGGCGCCTTGCGCTGCAGTAGATACTGCTGGATGTCGTCTGCGTCACGCTTCAGCCAGGCGGCGTTCAGGAGGATGTTTTCGCAGCACTGCTGCACGGTGCGCTCAGCCGCAGGCGCCGGGTGGCTCTCGAAAAAACTCTGCAGAGACAGAAAGAAAGAGCTCGTCAACTCCTCACGCTTTTATTTATAGAAACCGCACCGATGAATCTGAATGATGAGCTGGTTCAGATCATTCTGGGACCCTGGAAGCTCCTGGAAGCAAAGGTGTTGCTAAGAACACATGGTGATTATTGATCTGATCCATAAAGAGCCATTAAAAGCAATGATTTAATTAGCCTAACATTTAGAACACTTTAAAATCCAATGTACGCCTGGAAGAAAAAACTGGAAATTTTAATTAGCATACATTTTTAGTGGGAATCTAAATGAACAAACCGCTGCTTCTCAACAGCTGACTTAAAAAAAACTGTCACCTTTCCTTTCCTCCAATCCAGGCTGTGAGAGGAAAAGTAACTACATGAACAAAACATTAGTTTAATGGTTTCCCAGTATTACAGAAGACTTGTAGTCCTCTCTACATTTCCATAAACTACCATAAATCCTATAATATAGGACGGGGCCTTTATTTCACTCAGATACATCTTGGTCCAGGCCATTATTGGAAGGAAGCCAGAATTAGAGACAGGCCTCTATTTCTATTTGATCAAAACAGACGACCAGTGTAATTAATAAAAATTTTGTGCCTCTGTGAACCTGCTTCGTCTCATTCCAAACTACATTGTGAGCGAAATTCACAACTTCTGAGCATTTAGAGTGTTAAAAAGAGCAAAGAGCAAACTGACCCACTCTGACAGCCGATTGGAATGATTAAGCTATATCCCCTATTCTGAATGAGTCGCTAAAACTCACTTCATGCAGACATTTTCTTAAGGATGAGTCTGCAAACCAAACTATCTCCCCCCCCCCCCTGCGTGGGAAGAAAGGAGAGGCCTGCAGCAGTGGAAACCAGGATGTACAGGCAGAGCAGCAACTATCTAACCAAGAAGATCAGGGCAGCTAAGAGGATACAGAAAGCAGCTAACAGACAGCTTCTCAGCAATCGACCCCAGCAGAGTTCGTTAAACATCTGTGTGACTGCAGACAGTAAAGAAGGGCAGATGGTACCAACAGGAGTGATATAAAACGTTTGAGATAAAAAAGAGACTTCTAATGCAACTAATATTCTACAGGAATAAAGGAAAACATGTAAATAGTCTTACCTTAACTTCAGCAGCCATTTTATCAATAGCAAAACCATCGACTGTGAGCTGTAAGGAGATATAGAGACTTAGATGCAAGGAAAGCAGAAGGACAATCCTCTAATTACAGTAGAAACTAATACAGCAGGAGAATGAGAGGCTAACTGACGGCTAATTCGGTGTCGCTACCCAAACTGTCCCATTAGCATGATCCAAACCATCGGCTAATTTACGCAACCAGAGAGACATCTGGGTCACCCACATTATACTTTTGCTCCTTAAAAATAGTTACGGTAGCGTACTAAAATATAATGTGAACAAGGTTAATAATATATGTCCTGAAAAAAAAAAAGTCTCTCCAGTTTTATCACACTCTGCACTGGAAATGGGATCCTACTAGCCTAGTGAACTAGCTCCACCCGCCGGCGGCCAAAATCAGTTTTGCCTGCGAGTGGTCTAGCCTCGACAATGCCTCACGCTTTAGAACTGGGGGGCCAATCACAACGCAAAGATGTGTTTTAAATTTCTGAATGCAAATGGGGCGGACTTTTGAGGGTGGACGACAAAGCTGTGCAACGCTGGAGAAAGCACAACAAGGAAGATGGCAACAACTATTGAACAGTTCTGGTTTGACTCAGCTTTGGAATCAGTTTTGGAAGGATCAGACCTGGGGTTTTCATTGAAACGTGAGCAGGAAGAGGCTCTACGCTCATTCATTTTCAAGAAGGACGTATTCGCCGTTTTACCGACACGCTGTTTGTTTACACTCCCCCACCAGCTTCCTGTCGTGCTTTACTACGTCACAGTCAGTTGCGCTCATTGGTCAGAGCGTTGGCCAATAGGCACAGACATGGTTTGAAAAACAACAGGTTGTTCTCATCAACAATCTTCCGATGTCTCATTCATCAAGGCCAGACTAGATTACACATTTAATCTCACATTTAGTCTGGTTTATCAGGCTAAGATTCTACGCTACTTCAGGGACCTAACTTTTTCGGCTTTGGATTTAAACATAAATCTAGTCTTTTTGAGTTTTATTTTTTCCGTTCGTGTTAACATTATGGTATATATCAAATAAACCTAAAGAAAGAAAACAACTAAAATGCAGATAAACATGGTTTATTTTGCCGGACGGCACTGAGCATGTCCCATGATGACATCAGAGAAGCAATACGACGAAGAAAATGTAAAAAACATCTCAGAAAAGTAATAAAAATATTTTTTTTAAAGATGTGTATTAGCATTCTGTAGTCATTTAGGGATACAAATAAGTACTTTTAGTACCATAATTATATGATTTATAGACTTGGCTGAACATCTGTATGCATATGTGCAAATGAGCTGATGGTAAGGGTTGGGTAGTGACACTAGACTCATTTACAGTACCCTCTGAAACAGATCCGGGCTCAGTTCCTTAAGACTGTTTACACACCACGCTAGCACGGTTCTTCACCTCCTAGTGGTGATCTACGGTACTCCTACTCTCTAAAGGTAAACAAGCAAACCAACATGGCGGCGCCCGTAACACTTAGGAAGTTTGTGGAGAGTCAGGCGAAGAATGCAGCCTTTGGTGAATTTACTTGACATTCGGCTTTTGGGAAGTGGATACGACAAACGATAAGTGTAATCAGGGTTTACAGACGCAGGAAACAACGACATTGAGGTTCATCACACTGCTAAGCAGCATTATCACAGGAAATCGTGTGGAACTGTAGAGAGGCTAGGATTTTCATGAATGTCTGAAATTTCATGATTATGGAGGCTGACTGTAAGGAGATGAAACGGTCTGCTCTTGCACTCTTTGTTATCCGAGTAATGAGCCAGAACTGAATCGCGCCGAGCCCTGCTGATGAACTAGTACCATGTTAGCGCGGTTCGGTTGTGTCTGGCGCGGTGCGGTTCAGTTGTGCGTTCCATTTACACTCAGTTATCTTGGTTACCGTCCTCAGACTGATCTCAGCACGGTTTCAAAAGGGAAGTGTAAATGTGGCTATTGACGGCTAACTACAGCTAACCGACAGACCGTGTCCAACTGGATGCTTCCAACAAATCCAGAACATTCGGAGTAGTTTAGACCCACCTTGATGAGGCGTGATATAAGGAAGCCTCCCTGGTAGCGGTTGTAGAGCTCCTCCCAGTTATCCCTGACAAATTTCCAGGCAGCTTTCCGGCCTTGCTTGCTGCTTCCCGCCACGCCTCCGATTACAGACACCGTGTCCTGGGGACGGACCTCTTCCTGCCGGGACAGACGTCCAGAAAACAGACAAAACCATCAAACTATCCGACTGAGAAGATGACAGCTGATGATGGTGCAGGTACAGCCAACAGGTGAGGTTTCAGGATACAGAGACACGATTCTAAGACTTCCCGTCATTATCATGTATTCCAACGTTTCAGGCCTAAAAACTCACAGTAAAATAAGACACTGAGTCGTCTTAATTAGTCTCTCTACTTGGTGTCATTTGGCTAACAAATCTGCAGGAGCCTGTGCTCACTTTGCTAAACTGCTAGGCTAACATTAACACATTTACTCTATTGTGATATGATTCAACACTTCAGTTCCTAACGTCTGAATCATCATAGAGTCTGAAAAAAAGAGCTAAATAATAGAATCAATGTTTTATCCAATCAGTTTTCCTTCCTGTGAAAAATAAAATAACCTTAGAGGTAGGTCTGAAGTTAAATAAATAGAAGGTTGTGTACCGAGAGGGCGAAGCTGAGGACTTTCTGGATTAGATCAGGAGCAGAGATGGCCCCCAGGACTCGCTCAATGCGGTTCCTCTCCTCCTGCATGTCTGCTTGTTTATGGAGCTGCAGGACGACAAAGAGAAAGAGTCCGTTATTAAAACCACAGAAGAAGTGAGGCCATTTCATCCTCCAGCAGCTTCATGCAGAGAGGAGTTCAAGGGCCGTAGAAACACAGAGGGGGGAAACCTTTGAGCTGCGTTTCATTAAAAGCTCAGTTAAGTGACGGACATCAGCAACGCGTGCAGAGACAGAACTCCAGAGGTCTGCAGCAATTCTGCAGCTGGACTGAGAGAAGCAGAACTGAACCACAGGATGGATATCAGCATTTAACCAGAACCAGTTAATGTGAAGCACATATTGGAGAATCAGGGGTCCAAATCATCTGGAGTTCATGTTAGAATGACTACTGACTCACAATGGATTCATTTAACAATGTAAATATAAGAGCTTATGAACCTGATTACAAAAAAGATATAGAGGAAAGAAGAAATAAAAGAAGGAAGGGAAGTGATACAAAGGTTAAAGAAGAACCAGACAAAGAAAAACAGCTGAGAAGGAAAGGACACAAAGGAAAGGAAGAAAGGAAGGAATGGAGGGAGAGACCACCACATGGTCAATAGACTGTTAGTGTTTACCTTGAGCATCGTCTCCAGTGTGGTGCTGTCCCCGTGCTTCAGCACCGTTAGATACACCTGGAGAGCAGAGAGAAGTTAGCTCCTTCTGAATGAACAGGAGGATGAGCTGGAGGAACTTCAAACTGTAGTTCTGGTGGTTTTTTATATAATTCAGCAAAGTTAGTAATACAGTAGCAGGCATTTTAAAATAGCCCTCCCCAGTCAAAAGCTGGCTGAACGGCAGCCCACTTCTCTGCAGCTCCCAGCCACTGACTGACTCCAGCCTTTCACTGAGTTACAGGGTCTGACCAGGAGATGATACTTCTCTTTAGATCTTAATGTCCACAAATCATGATAGAAAGAATATTTTAGTACAAAGATTGATGTTTAAAAAGGAATAATAGGGGACCAGGCAAGGGCCCATAAAGGAAACTGGGGAAAATCTTGAATGGCTACTGCTGTAGCTTTTCATTTCCACCATCATGTGATCTGTAGATGTAGCATGAGTAACTTTAGCTGTTTGCCTCTGCAGCACCTAAAGCAGATATCAGCATGCATTGGGTTCCATGTCCACATAGGTTCTGCCTCTGTAGCTCATTTATAAACAGATTCTAATGAACAGAGGTGGCCAGCGTACAGCATCTACTCCCATCTTATCCAAGCTCCACTTACTGGGCTCCTCAGGTCTGCAGGCAGCACCTGCTTCCCCTCCACATGGTCCTTGAATCTCCGCCTGGCCTCTTCCAGGGTGGGTTTGTGTCCCGCTTTGCCCAGTTTCCCCAGAACCAGGCCTCTCAACAGGGCGTCCAGATGGCCTACAGTCACACAACATTAGCTTAGCAGCTGCACAGAGCATTGGACGGAAAACTCTGGCTTTAAACCACGATTTAAATGGGAACGATCAGCTTTGAATTTCTAATGAAAAATATTAAATTCACCCTTTAAACCTGTTTCATAAAACAAGGTGTCAATTATTTAAATCATTAAGGGAAATAAAGATTCCCCGTAGTGCAAACAGTAATGTAGATGTACTAAATGTTCTTGCAGGGGGCAGAATACGTAGGGTATGTTGGTTCCTCCTCACCTTCCCCTGGCTTGCTGTCCCAGCCCAGCCTGAGGCCGATCGGGGAGAAGAGGTCCCTGATGAACTCCTGGATCTCCTCGTGGAACTCAGTGTGAGACAGCAGTGAGGACAACACTCCCAGGTTACAGCTCAGGTCGCTCCAAACCGTGTAGTTTGGTTCATTGACAAACGCCTCCATCAGCTTCAGCACCTCCACCGTGCTGATCATCCCTGCACGGGACTGGAGCCACAGAACAAGAACCAGCAGTTAGCAGAAACCTTCCTCTAATCAACAGCTAGTGCTGCTGCTGAGCAAAATAAAGGTTAACCACAAACCGGCAGCTTCTTCTGCTCAGAATAGATCCAGAGAGGATCATTAAAGCATGTTTAGGAATGATGAGGAAATGATTCCCTAGACCTAAATTTGATCAACCAGAACCATGCGCTCTATCAAACAGTATAAAGAGGCAAAAGCTGCTAAATAACTGGGAGTAAAGTTATAATACAGCCAATGTGATGTTTGTAAATGAAATGATGTCATTTCATTCATACAGCTGGAACCGGCCCTGATGTAAACAGGAGTGTGACACTTAGAGCTGCAACTATGATTATTTTATAAATCGATTCATCTGTTTGTTTGACTGATAATCAGATAGCTAAAGGTTCCTTACTGAAAACTTCTTACTAAATTAAACCAGGAGAAACTGAGGCCTCATTCCTCTCACTTGGTTCTGAGAACACTGCAGTGAGTTCCTCCATAGTGAAGTCCACCCAATGAGGGGAGTGCAAGGGAAGATTTTCTCCCTAAGAAATGGGACACCCCTAGTTGTAAAAAAAACAACATCCCAGCCCAGTGGATGGTGGTAACAAATAGCCTGTGGACTTCAGTGATGTGTTCACCTACGTCATGCGTAAACACAACCTTCTGCATGGAAACTCTGCCATGCTCATACCTTTTCATCAAACACATATATAATATTGAACAACAAATATATTACAAAATGTAAAAAGTCAATTTATGAGGCAGCATAAAAGCTCTTATAACATGAACGCGCAAACGGAGTGCTAGGGACTAAACAGGGTGAGAGAAATGAGACTGGGCCTAAAACTTTTCCACCTGAGGCGTTCCAGATAGAGCATAGTGACAGACAAGATTTTTTTAAATCTTAAATGCAAAATGTTTATATATTTGTTTACAATTTTGGTATAATTCTTGCACTAAGTGGGTCACTCTGTCAGCTAAAGGCATTTAGAGTCTCTATACTCCAGTTAGTGATTAATCAATTACTGATTTAGCTGACAATTATTTCAATAATGGATTAATCTGATTGTTGCAGCCCTGATGACATCGCTGATCTAGAAGGAGAGAAAAATCTTCCTCTCTATAAAACAAAGATCTTTACCAGCAGTGCCTGTAACCATGGTTACCATAGGAGAACAGCCCGGTGTCAAAGGGAACTAAAAGGAAGTCAAATCTTCTGCAATTAAAAGGTTTTCCACCTGATTTAAACAATTATTTACTAAGGGAACAAGATTTTAATTTCAAATGAGAAGTTTCAGTAAATAAATGATCATATTTTAGGGACAAACACCGATTCCATCAGCAGAAAACTTTACTAACCTGCTTAAATGAAGAGCAAATACAGTTAGTTTATTTTTTCTACCTATTTTTAGAACACCCTTTGCTGATCATAGACGCCATTAAGTCATTTCTGACTGATGGACACTGATGATCATCTGATATTGAGCACCTGCTGATCGATTCCTGCCTCATGATGTTCTAAAACTAGTCAGCACTCAGCAGTCTAGAAACAGCAGCAGACAAACTGAAAGCCTGATAGTAAAAACACAAAGGTCTGCTGGGATCCAGGAAACCGCTTCAATCACAAACGTTTGTACTTTGAGAAAACAAAGATCAGTTTAACCTCTGAGTCTGGCAGCTACAGCCGTTTGATCTACACTCATCCTCAGGATCACATGTTTCTAACCAGACGCAGACCCAGATGTTCTTTACTCCAAACATCTGGACGTGTTGCTCAGCCTCACCAGAGAGAACAGGTCGTTCTGCAGGCCCAGCCGGTCCACAGGCTGCAGGCTCAGGTCTCTGACTCCCGGCAGCAGACTCTCCAACATGGAGGAGCTGTACTGGATCCGGTAGAATCCCACAGTTCCAGGGTTGATCTGAAAACAGCAGGAACCAGTTCAAACATTTCAGGTTGTAATTATCCACTGCATCCACCTGTAGACCGTTACTCATACCGTCTCATTTTTATTCCATCATTTCAGAAATATTCCGCCATTAAATCTTTGCAGTGAACATTTAGTATCAAACAGTGTTTATAAGGAGCTGGATCTAATCCTCCCTGCTGTTGAAGGAAGGAGTCTAACCTTGATCCACTGATCAGGAGCGACGCCGCTCAGAGTCACAGTCGTCTCTGCTTTGTCCAGCAGCAGCTTGAGCTTGGAGCATTTAGGGTCCTCGCTCGTACAGATACTGATGGGCACCATCCAACTAGGACAATCCTCACCTGCACCAAAGGAGGAGGAGAAGAGTGTCAGCAGAAATCACCAGGAACCCAAAGAAAAACTGATTCATTCACAGAGAAACTGACCCAATGTTCAGGTCCTAACAATGGAAAAATCTGATCTTTCTCCAGTCAGTGAACACACCACACCTTAGGTGGACCAAACCAACAAAGCAGTGGAGGCTGTAACTATGGTAACAGGTCTTTATTTTAGCCATTTCTAGCATCAGCAGGGTGTTAAAATAAATAGAGTGCAGAGCCTGGCATTCACAGCTAGCAATGCTAACCACGATAACCGCTAATATAAAATTGGAGCCACAATCTGTGTACTTGTGTGATCGCATCATCAGCCTCAGCCCTAGTACTGCTCCAATTCACAAGAACAGCAGACCGAGAATGGACAAAGTCCCCGGATGTTGTTCTCGCCCCTCCTTCTTTACCCAGCATGCATCAGAGCAGACTTTTCCGTCCTTGAGATTGGCAGCTGTCCCAGCATGCACTGCGGCAGCAGCTTTCAATGGCTCGCTCACAGAGCTCTCTCTGCATAGCCCTGCATGAAGGACCGCTGCCTCTGATGGAGGTTTGATTGTTTTATTTGGCAAAACATTCATTTGATTTGTGTTTATCTGACTGTGTTCATTATTATTCCCCCACTAAATGAAAAAAGTCAGAATTTATTATTATCTAGAGATTATTAAAAACAGGAGGCGAAATGCAGCTCCAGGCGAGCTGAGCGTGTAGTGATGTCATCAGTACGCCTCTGTTTCAGTTAACCCATATTTATGCTGCGTGCTCCCGTTCTCCTCGAGTCTATACTTTCCTGTGTTCTTCTCAAACACGAACATGGTGAGAACACGAGTCCGCACTCATTTGTTAATTGCGTTTTAATCATCCATCCCATAATCCTCTGCTTTCCCGGGGACCGCCCTCTCATCATCTGCTCCTCATTCATGTAACTATTAACTGTTTATTGAGTAAATCTAAAAACAAATATAGATTTAAATGCAGATCTAGATTCAGAAAAACCTGAATCCAATGAAACCTGCATCATCACGCCTGAGCTTCAGAAACTCTTAAAAAAAAAAAACAAACAAACAAAAAAAAAAACAACTCCTCATGCATTGTCGGCTCCTGACCATGAGCTCCTTCTGTGATCTGAACTCACCGTTATGAGGTCCACTGGCACAGAACTTCTTCTGGGATATCTTCAGGATTCGGTCCTCACCTTGCTACAAAAACCAGAAACAGAGCATTTTAGAAGAGGAAAATCCCAGCAGAGACCATCTGAACGGATTCTAAGGAGATTTTATTCTGTTCTCCAATCCAACCAGGATGCAGACGGTAAATAAACTCTGAATAATAAGGCAACACTGCAAAAAACAATCTAGAAATAATGAAAAATGTCTCAGATTATGTGTATTTGCCTTTAATTTGAGTAGGGAAATAAGATGATTTGCCAATGGAATGATGCTACGTTCAGACTGCAAGCTGCTGAAGCAGCAAGTTAACATGCAAAGTCAATGGTTGATGAGCTTCAAGGTGCATCAAAAGGTCCTGCAGCGCATTTCGAGCAGCAGGAGCAGCGCTTCATGAGCTTCAGATGCGCTTCAGATGCGCTTTAGAAGCAGAAGCTTTACTTTTGCTGCTGGACGCATCGCATCAACCAATCAGAGAAGCTGATCAGGGAGCTGGCAGGGAGACAGACAGCACTGCTGATGCAGAGAGCTATGATCACTCCTCTGAACCAGTTTGTTAACACCTAAATTAACTTAAAATGTTGAAACCTGAAGGCAAAATATGCTTGCTTTATTATTCTGGTGCCTTTAGATTATATATGTGAAAAACGCCTTCCAGCATGAGGACAGCGGGTCAGAGGCTGCTGTTGAAGGGGATTCCCAGTGACAGAGCACTGCCTGTGTTTGGGGGTTTAATGCTGATAATTGAAGGCCATATGGTGATCTTGATAAACTAACTGCACAGATGAAGTTTTCAGGTGAACTTTCTCACTTAAAAACACATTTAAACTACTTTTTACCCGCTGATCGCAGCAAATATAGCAAAGCGACTCTCTGCCATTGAACACAGGAGCAGCAGACAGATCCGTCTCATGCTACTCTACAGGAGCAGCAGAAGCATCAGACGGATCTGGACAAACGTTACAGGACGCGCTTCAGGAGCATCAAAGACGCACTTGAGGCGCCTCGGGCCTTAATGTGAACAAGCATCAAAAATGAGGCAGAAGCTTTTTTGCTGCTTCCATCACATGCGGTCTGAACGTAGTTTGATTATTTTTACTCTTAAAATAAGATAATTAGATAATATGCACTTGAAATAAGACAATGAAATATTTTTATTTTTTGGAATTTTAAATTGTTTTGTTCCATTTGTTCCAAGTGTCTCACTTACCTCCTCAATTTCAGAAAAATGACTAATTTACATTTTTATTTTCTGCAGTGAATGTTGAGGCTCACCTGTTCCTGATCCACCACTATTATTGGGAAGCCCATCTGCTTGGTCCATGAACTCATCACTGCTGCTATGGGTTTCCCACTGGCCTGTTCCAGACAGTCCCACAGGTCCTCTGGAGAGCAGAGCAGGGAGAGAGGAGTATGATGCAGTAACCTGAACATTACGCCTCCTAAAGCTGCCTTTATACATCAACAAGCTCCAACTACCGACTCTTTAAGGTATTTAAATGTCACCATAATCATCAGGGGTAGGAGGAGAGATTCTCCCAGTTCTTCCTCAGACCAGCGTTATTAACCTAATGGTCTCACCTGTTGATGCGTTTTTATGTTGGAACTTTAAAAGGTAGGAATTCATTCCTTTCCTAAAGTCCTGTGAAGAAAACACAAGATCAACTGAAATAGGTGGAATCTGAAAGCAGAGAGCGTAGCGGGCCGTTAGTTAGAGGCCACCAACCTCGTCTCCGATGTAGTTGTGCAGCATACGGATCACAGAGGCTCCTTTGCTGTACGAGATGGCATCGAATATTTCATCTACTTCCGATGGATGGCCCACGTTCACCTGAACAACATCAAACACTCCTGATTTCACCAAATCATCCATCAGATGATTAACTCTCCTGTTTAAGCTGCTCCTATGGAGATGCGAGCGTTGTCCCTGGCTGTCCTACCTCTATGGGGTGGCTGCTGTCCAGGGCGTCCAGGTCCAGGGCGCGGGTGTAGTCTGCAGAGACAAACTGGGTCCAGATGTCGTACTCTGGGAAGCAATGATCCACACACAGGTACTCGATCCAGGAGGCAAAGCCCTCATTGAGCCAGAGGTGAGTCCACCACTCCTGTGGATGAGAAGGTTCAATTAGAGGACCGCCGTCTGAATGTCATCACAGCCGGACTGCGTTAGCTTTCAGCTGCAGACCTCGTATCCTAGCTTTGTTCAACCTGTAGAGAACAGGCTGCTGCTTCCTTCCAGACTATTCCCTCTGCTTCCCATAAAGAGTTAAGGATCTGATCCCACCTGAAAACACCCATCTGACCCGATGCAGCCATAGAGAACTCAGACCCTGTTCTGATGTCATCAGAGTCCTGCACAGGTCAGATTTTCAAAGCTCTATCCACCCGCACCCATAGAGTTCAGACTCGACCCATTAAGCACAATTATCCTCTTTTAAAACCCGGCCAGGAACGCTCGGACCCGTAAATTATAGCCCTGTTTCCACTACCTCTTTGAAAGATGCCTGTTAGGTGTAAATGGCACGCAAAACTGAACCGGACCGCACCACACACAACCTATCCGCACTAACCTGGTACTGATTCATCAGCAGATCTCGGCTCGGTTCAGTTTTGGCTCGGTTCTCTCATAATAAAGACATTCATAAAAGCGCTAGCTTCCTACTGTGCCACATAATTTCCAATGATGATTCTGCTTAGCAGTGTGTTGAACCTGTTTTTGCATCTGTAAGCCGTGATTAGACTATTGTTTGTCGTATCCACTTCCCAAAAGCCGACTGTCCAGTAAATTCACCAGAGGCTGCCTTCTTCGCCTGACTCTCTGCAAACTTCCTGAATGTTACGGGCGCCGCCATGTTGGCTTGCTTGATTCCCTCTAGAGAGCAGTAGTGCTATAGTTCGTCACTAGGAGGCGAGGAACCGTGCTAGCATGGTGTGTAAATGGTTTACTGATCCAAGCTCGGTCCGAACTCGACACGGATCAGTTTCAGAGGGTAGTGTAAATGGGGCTAATAAAGTGCAACCCATCCTGTGATCACAAAGTTAAACACACAGCTGTTAATAATAGAGGCAGTAAAGAACATTGCTTCACACTCATATCCAGCGCGCTGCGATCACACATTAGCACATTATAAAAAAAAAAAATAAAAAAAAAAAAATAAAATAAAATTACTGCTATCTGGATATCCTTGACTCAATTTGTTTTTTAAGATGTAGAGTTAATAAATATAAATAAGTTAATTCATGCTGTAACTCTATGGTAGCTGCATTTTGTTCATTTATGCCCGTGCCTACACCTGTGGAATAATATGTTTTTTTTACTACTCGTAGATATGGCTACCTGCCAGATACCCAACCCACTGCAGGACTCTGATCGGAGCCTCATTCAGCCCCGATTAGAAGCATCATGGGTCATGAAGAGTGAGAGGGAGACTCTAACGATGACTAACACAGGAACCCGTCCACAGCTCACGTTGTTCCCTGTAAACTCTTCACAATGTAAACACCCAGCTCTGCTCTTTGTGCATTTAACCAGGAGAGATCAGTTTGATAAATCTGAATGTGGAAATCAGCATGTAGGATGAAAGATTGACCAAAACCAGAGACTAGAAGACTTTCAGAAACCTTTTACCGCATGTTTCAGACACTAAATATCCTCCTAATGTAAAATGGAAGCCCGCTGTAGGTACCAGATCTGCTCAGGGCTCTGCCCCTTCTTATGACGTCATCCTATGGCAACTCCACTCGACAAACTGTATTGCATCCGTTCCTTAAGGATTCTCAACATATTATTACCTACATTTGCTTTTATTTTACATTTACATATTTATTAATCAGTATTTTCATTGGCGATCTAAAGTAGCTGAAAGCTGAAAACAATCATTGTCAGTCTTGAAGGAAAGTACTGCCTTCTAAGACTGACCTCTGCTATTTAACAAGGTGACAAAATAATCTCAGCTTATTTTTATTTTTAATCAAGATCTGAGGGCACAGAAGGAAAAATGGGACGTCTTAAAAACTGACTTTTGTGAGATTTTAGACAAAAAAAGCAACAGTTATTAGAGAACAAACTTTGCTGTTAATACAAAGTTTAGCTTAATATGGCTAACTGACCAAACTAATAGAGGCTAACTGTTAGCTACAGCTAGCCACAGCGCTACCCAGCTCTCCCCCTTCATATCATGGTCTAACAGTTACTTTGTTACCCAGAAAAATGCTTTTTTTCAGTTTTGTTATCAATCAGTTAAAACTTCATTTGTCATTAGACACGCTAAGCTAAAGATGCTCCCAACTCGTCACACTGCGTGATGTTATCGTTGTCTTGGCAACCACAATGTTTCACATCATGTGGCAATGTTCAGCCAATCAACCAATCACTGACATGAAGCAGGACCAGAGCAGATCTGGCAGCTACAGCATCACTCTACAGAGAAGGTCCTGCTTCAGACGCTGGTCTGAAGTCTTTCTATACGAGTTTCTTCTCTGACTTCCTCCCACAGCCCAGAACGTTGGGGTCATTGATCACCCTAATGTGTGCAACAGAATGTTTCCATGTTTTCTCTCACATACTGCTGCCTCCCAGTCCTCCCAGTTAAAGACAAGGGATGATCGACTGCTCTGTGTTTACAGTCTGAACATTCAGGGCAGACAGAACATGCAGCTGAATCAGTTCGTCTGTTGGTGTTTCACTATAAACCAAGAGAGTTTTCAGGGTTGTTACCATGGTGACCAGGTTCCCGAACCACTGGTGGGCGAGTTCGTGTCCTACCACCAGCGCCACCCACTGCCTGGAGGACGAGCAGGAGTTCTTGGGGTCAATTAGCAGCGCGGTCTCCCTGGAAACAAAACAGAGTCGTGAGACGATGGAGGGAAGCAGCAGAGATTCCTTCTTCCTCTGATCGGGGGTCCACCCGTGTCTACAGGCAGACTGCTGCGCTTAAACAATGGCAATGATTGACTAAACACCTGCTCCTAGGTAAAGGGATATTGGTATGTTTCAGAAAATAAGATAAATGAAGCTGTATTAAAAGTACAATAGTTCAGAAATGAATAGTCTGCATAGTCTGCATTGGTAGTTCCAGGGTTCCTACAAAATAAGGAAAGTTAAATTCAAGACTTTTTTGTCCCTTGAAATAAAAATTTAAGACCAATTTTAAAATAAACAGATTTAACCTGATGATTATTTTAACATGAACCATTACTTTCTGGCCCAGTAGAAATGTTTACTATTTCTAAAAACTATTCCATATAGGAGGCAAGCTAAAAACACACTAATAACAGATATATTTTTAACAAACTAATGAATGGAATTCACAAACGTTGTTTAGGTCCCTAATCAAAGTCAATAACAGCTCTGCTTTCATTGTAGGCGAACCACCAAACATCCAGAGGTTTGGTGCTACTGGGGCTTTTTTTGACGTCGGGGATCCTGTTGAGGCCTTGCAGAAAGGGATGAACAGAACTGAGAAATAGCTGCTGCTTCTCTGTAACTTGATTTTGGTGTTTTGTTTTTCACTCTTCACACGTCTGACTCCACAGCTTTGATCCGAACCTGCTGAGCTTGAATGACTTCTTGCTCAAAATACGTCATTTCTCATCTACATTACGTGGTACTGTTTTTACCCATGCAGAAAACTCTCGGCTGGATAACCAATTGTCAAGGAATTTACACTTCCCCATGGTGTCCGGATAAAAAGTTATTGGTGCATCGCCCCAAGGTCTGTTTGCAGCGTCGTTTTTATTGGTTCTGTTGTCAGGATGGAACTAATAATGTTACAGCTAAGCCGTTCGGTTAATGTCAAAAGATTATCATGAATTATTTTTAATTTCTGTTATAAATTACGAAAATAAAATCCCATTTATGACTTGATGAGAATTTTGAGACCTACCAAAGACTAATTGAAGACATTTTAATACCAATTAAGGCCTTATTTTTATATTGAAGAACTAAATGCCTTTTAAAACTTTTTTAAGGATCGGCAGGAACCCTGTAGTTCCCACCAGCCTCAGGATTTAAAGCGCGGCTAATGTGCTTCTTCGGTTCAGGTAAATATGGATCCAGACCCAACAGAGGCTCACCTGTATGTAACAAGGCCCCAGTTCTCCATGGCACCTGAAAACAGAAAGAGACACAAACCTTTACTCTACAAATCCTCTTCTGGAAAGAAAATATCTAAATATTCAGTGACTCACCTGCAGCAAAGTCAGCGATAGCTATGAGATCGATCTTAGGTAAAGGATAAGGAACACTGAAGTAGTCTTTGTAGAAAGGTAAGGTTTTAGTTGCAACCTGCACCAAAAAAGAACATCATCAGCATCAGAGAGAAAAGTCTGGACAGCAGAGGTTAGGAGCCTCCACTTCCTGTGTTCACTTCCATTTAAAATGGGATCCGACACACAGAACTCCCTCCTGTTCGGCTTCTTCTCACCTCCAAAGCGAATTTCCCTTGTTCCGCCTTCCCGACGGGTGTGTAGACGCGTACCGTTACGCCGTCTGACGACTGGCTCTCCACAAAGTCATATTCACCGATCACAAAAGCTACCAGGTATGTGGACATGATGGGCGTGGTGGCGAACTTTACCTCCACCAGGTTCTCATCTTCTACGTATGGCTTCCGATCGATGACATTCTGGGAAGAGTTGGAAAACATTTCGTTACTAGCTGTTCTTTTTGGCTTTACTCAGGGCTGTACAATTTTAATAATATAAAAAAAAAAAAAAATACCCATAGACTTTAAGATCCAGGGTTTCATTGTTTTCATGGCCTTCAGTCTCTGTCTCTGCTGTTGTGTGGAAATGCTCTTATTTCCTGACCTGACAAC